TTATCTTTTACTGAAAATGTGAATTGAGTTTAGTGGGCGAAAATGGGCGTTTAAGTGAAATCCTTTAAATACTTTGGCAACTTTGTAACTGAACTAAGTGAAAGTTAAATGTGTCTGTAAAATAATAAGGTAAGAGATCTTTGCTTTCCAACCTCGTCTTTAGGGTAAATGCAAAAACTTACACTGCGTTAAGTTCTGGCTTAAGATATCTTCAATATTGCTACTGAATGACGAATTCACAATTCTTCTAAGATGCTTTTAAAGGTGAATTGAATACTGATAGAGAATGTGCTGCAATTATGGCTAGTTAAATAGCTAGTGGCTAAACTGGATCGGCGCTATTTAAAAGATCTGTATACCCTATCGCTTAGCGGTGCCATTAACCAGAGATTCGAAGTGGCCCAACTGAAACCAAAGAATATTTACAGGGCTACAAATATAACAGCAGTTGTATCTGTTGTCAAACACGCAGTGTTGATTGTTTAGATTCCCCATTCTGAACTTTCAGATATATTAAACCAAATCTCGTATCTTAAAGCTTCATTTAGATATACGCTCTTGCAACTCCTCTGAGTTTGTTACCGATTGAAAAAAATTATCCAGAGGAGTCTATCTTTGAAGTCTCGATTTTCGAGTCGCAGTTGACAAAGTTTTCATGGATCACACGATTGAGTCTAGGCTTTCGTATCACCAAAGTATGTGCCAGCTTTTGTATATAGTGCTCAAATATACCACAATTAGACAGACCATCTTGCGGTAAAGCCATTCTTTATGTACATACTTTAAATTCAAACCCTTTGTTCGACAAAAGACTCTTCCAAAGAATGTTAAATATAAAAATGTCTCTATAAAAGTGAACTAATCAAGGGTCTTGAACGGTACAAGTAAAGCTTTGATGCCGAGGCCCCCATTGACTCAAATTTCGGGGCTAACGCCCTTGGTGCTCACTAATATGAATACCCGAGGGAGAAGATCACGTGAGATAGCCCTGGACGACCTTGTAACTTATATAAATCGAAGTGGAAAGCCGAAAGCAGTACACTATTGACATTCTAGTCAGACATCTGCAACGGGTGCATAATTTTCGCGGGTGTCCGAGTGTGGTGTTCGCTTGTGCCGAATTTTTAGTGATGGTGATCGAACAGGCTTCTTCGTACTCAAAGCAGATTTCGGATGTGCATCTCGATCGAACACATAGTGGCTGAGTGTGGCGTTCGCTTGTGCTCGATCAAAAAGGCTCGATCATACTCAAGGAAGCCCTCTGGTTCGAGGCACTTGAGATGTTTTGTAGTGTACTCTCTACTAACGTTTTTAGGGTAAAGAAAATCTCTCAGAGAGGTAGATATTTATGTATAAATACACAGAGCAGAGTATTGGTGTTAACCGCATCATGACTGCCAGTCTTGTTTACAAGCATTTCCTCTAGACAGGAAGCTCAAGTTGAAATATTAGTGAGACATTGGGTACTTTGGGGCATGAAGATATTATGTCGAATCAACTTTTCATATGTTAAACGAACTACAAAATGGTCTGTATAGAGGTATTAATATACTGTTAAATGTCAAAAGGATAAATACCTATAATCTCCTCTGGAAGCATGTAAGCCTCCAGATACTCTTATATAAAAGTACCTATTGCCAGGATGTCAAGACTGGAAACGTAACTGGAGTTTGATGGTATCTGGAAGATAATTTCAGATGTTTTCTATTTTAGGTATAAGGGCAAGGGTTTTTTCAATCGAATATATTTGAGATGCTTAAAGTAGGCGACTGGATATTCGGCGATAAGCGGTGATCCCAAATAAATATGCCAAGGAGCCTACCTCATACATCTTCAAGTACATATTTTCCAGCAATGAAAGTTGAGTCTGAAATGGAACAAGCTTGAACTCATGTGAATATTTAGTGGAGAGCAGATTACCTAGTTACCGCGACCGAAGCGATCTATTATAACAAAGCTCTATTCGACTGCAGGTCTTCTTTGATAGATGTATTGCTAAGAAATATTGCTGGGTCCTTTGGCTGAATGCCATTTAGGTCGTGTGTTTTTATGTACGGTGATTTAAGGAAGCAAAATCTGGCCTCTGGTGTTTTACGTTCTTCGTTACACAACTCGTACTTGTCAGAATGAAAAGCTCCTATGTTTGACAAGTGGACAGTACATGCTTACTGGGATGAAGGAGTTGTTCGGTTTTATTTGTTGTTGGAATGAAGGACATAACGTTTTGGTAACTACGGTATTGCCTCGAGTATGAGGGTAGTACAAAGCGAATTCCCATAGAAAATTCAGGCTGATATGGTACATTTTTAGGTCGCATGTGTAGATAATGGACGAGCTAGTACATTGTCTTTGCCTAGAAGAATTACTATGACTTATTAACGGACCTTGAAAGTTTAGTTTCCCCCTCTTCTTAATCCTAATCTTGGAATCTAAAGTACCAACGGCAACTATTTATGTCTGAGTGCTTGGAAAACCGTTTTTAAGTTTCCTAGCCCATTAAACAATTAATACTATTTCGATTATCCTGAAATCATTTGGCAAGCAAGCCAGCTTCTGTTGCATTTATTGCATAGAACGCTAACAACCGAAAAAAAGTATATTCAAGCACTAAAGATGAGAGCGTATGTGTGTTGTCCAAAATTTGTGTGCAATGGCAATCGCTAGCCGCTTGAGTTACATTTCGCCTCTTGAATTCCATCGAAGCAAAAGCTAAATCCACAAAGCTATCGTTCGGGGGTATTTTTATTCCAACAGTAGAGTGTATTGACAATATATTCAGCCATATAGGTGGTGTTAGCTTTTGCGAGTCAACAATGCAGAAAATGTTATAACGTTTAGGTATTATGTGAATTTGTGAGTGTGCGAGCGTGTTTGTGCGAGGTCCATTTCACACATGAAATACTTGCACACAAAGCGAACTGCTAAACGCACGGACCGGCGTTCAACACACAATAGATGCTCTTCAAGCATATTTCGCTCTGCGCCATTTCACACTACCTTTGCTGGACTTTTCTGTGGCACTTCCTTTTACCTTCCACCCACATACTCTGGCTTTATACTTTACTTTTTCTTTTCGATTTTGCGCATTTATTTTTTTTGGTTCGGATTGCCCTGCAAACGGCAGCAGCATTCTTGGAAGACCAAAGCCAATATGACCTAAAATTGCTTGGGCAGCAACTCTGCCATTTGACAGTACTGCTTCAATAGCTACGCTGTAAGTTGTTGTACATGGCAGGCCATTATTGTAGCTTACCTGCTCTGCGTGCTGCGTGCCACAGTGTCTATGGTGTGCAACGGGCAATGGGGGGAGTCAGTCTTTTGCTTTGACCTTACAATAGTGTGTGGAATTAACATGCGCATCGCATCAGGTCGGTGGACTTAATGGTAATTTCTTTTTTAAAGTATATTAAATTTTACTGAAAGTCATCTGAACTAGTTGTTTAGATGTGTCGTTTAGCAAGAAATTATTTCTTTTAATCAAGAAAGAAATGTGGACTGAATTTCTATCGATCCCAACGAGCAAGAAACTGAATCCCGAGAGACTAAGAAGAAACTGGAATATAAACTTTGAGCAGTCGGTGAACCTGCTCCTTCATGTCGAATGCTCGGGTGTATCTAGAGCCCAGAATATTTTTACACATACATACTTAGGGGGAAGATCTGAGCTCACCGCTCTTCATAAAAATTTTAATTCATAATGACTTTACAGCTTAGGTTAGCGACATCGAGAGGATTCTTCTTGAGGCAGTAGTTAAATCTCTGGATATTCTTGGGATTTAAATGGACTTCAAAGAGAATATCGAAAACTTGATTTGTGACTTAACTGTTACCGCTGGAGTTAGAAGCGACCTGATGCTGGCCCGGCTTCTGATATTACAGGCAAAACTGTCACAGAGAGTGCTGGAAGTGCCACAGGAAAACCGTATGACCAGTAAGCTCAGCGTTAGGATATTAATTTTTTTTTGGGATTTTCGATTTTGTCGCTGATAACACGGATTATTGTATCTCTGTAGCTTTTTCTATGTATACATTCTCTCAAGGGAGTATTGGAGTGGAGCGAGGTCAGTCCATCAGTGAGTAGCACAGTTAATTTTTTCACGTATCGGTCGAAGCTTCATTGATAAGTTCTTCTATTATGTTATGTTGTGCAGTAAAATTGCGGGACCTGCACAGCAGACAAGTTATCATTATGTTCTTATCTTTAACCGTTAGTTTTTTATTTTTGTTTAACTACTCCTTAAATAACAGCTAGTTCTGATGTTTGCTTTATTAATCCAAAACAACAATTATTTTTCATTTTTATCTAATCTCTAATTTAATCTAGTTGTTTTTAATTTTTAAATTAAATAACTTAGATAACAGTTACTAAGGACTTTTACTTGTAAAAGTCATAAGTAATAATATGTCAGTTATTTCTAGTTCTAAAAGTAATCAATATAAATCAGTCACCGACTTTTATTTTTCAAATCATATAAAATTCATTTATATAAGTCGTAGTAAACTTTTGTTATGCATCACCTTCTTAACAACGAAAAATTTTAATTACTTGTACTCGTATGACTTAAAAATAACTTTTAGAAGTAAAAGCCACTGACTGATTTTTGTTGATGACGTTTATAACTAAAAGTTTTCAATAACTGTTATCTAAGACATGTATATAATATAAAAATCAAAAGTAATTGTTATTTTCAGATTATTTAGATAGAAATCTAAAATAATTGTTATCTTGGATTTAAAAAAAAAGAAATATAATAAATAATTATTATTTTTTTTAAATTCTGCATAAAAATTACAAATAAAAAATTATTTTCAAATTTGATTTTGGATGAAAAAAGAAATCGATTGGTATCTATCACTCAGTTGTAGACCTTTTCCTTCATAGCGAATTTCGCAATAACGGTTTTCATCAATAACTGTTATGTTTGGTCCCTGCTTCTACGTATATTTTACAAATATTAAAAAAAAAAAACTGATTTCTATCTTTGATTTTAGCAACAACTGGTTCAAGTCGCAGCTAGATGCAAAGTTGCAGTGAAATCGCCGCGTTTTAAAAATTTAAACCACTACGATATCTCCTTTGCGAAATTGTCTACAGGTAAGTGAAATTGCATATGTACATAGTACAATAACTTACTGATAAAGGTTAAGTTAATGTCCGTTGACATAAAAGCACTTAGTGAATTTAACAGCTTGTAATCTTAATACTAGCGAGGTTATGATTGGTGTTCTTCTTGCCAACCTCAGCTAATCATCCTGTATTAAATCGACGGTGTCCTTAACCTGGTGCACCAGGGTTGGCAGCTCAGGAAGCCGATTGTATAGCAAAAGCCCAAAAAATCATGGTAAAAAATAAAAAAGAAAATAATGGGAAATGATACAAATATATATTTATTTTTTAATTGTTTAGAACGAAAACATAACAATTATCTTTTATTTTTGTCTTTTACAGTGGCGTTGTCAAAATATCGAACTAGTAAAGATAAACGCCTTTTGCAACTTACCTCGATACTTTCATAATTAACAAGTGGAAATAAATTTTTTTTTTAGATTTGATTTCTACTGAAAATTGCAACAGGGCCAACCAAACCGTTTGCCTCTGTTGAGCCGAATTTTATCTTGATGCTAGGATCTGTTATAGGTTGTAACAAATCCAACAAAAATCCATCGTGCAAGAAGGAAAATAGTTCGACACGAAATATATGTTTATTGTTGTTTGTTTGTCCAACTACATATCTTTTAATAATTGCTAAATTTTAATTTTTTTTGGGGGTAAAATTTAATCGTTCTTTTTTGATTTTATTTATTTATATTTTTTTTGTTGATAAAAGATAATCAGTGTTCAGGGGTCCAGAGACCGCAATATACCTTTTCTATAACTTTGAACCGTTATGGGGCAGACTGAGGTTTTATGACCGTTGTAAATCTTATATGATATACAGAATTAAATCTGATAATAGCGGCTGTATATAATATGAACGAAAATATAAAAATAAAAAAAATAAAGTTTAAATTTGATCGGAAAATATAAATCCAATTTTAGCAAGAACACAACCATTACGGCCCCTGCTTTACTGCAAATATGTGCCTATGAACTCCGATAATTTCGTTTTATTTTTGTGTTTCATTCCGCTTTTGAGTAGCTGTAGCGCAGACATCCAATGAGCTCTTAGACATCATTTCTAAACTAGGTAATTTGCCATTCCCCTCTAATTCGACTTATGAAAACTCAAATTTTATCTCCAATTTTGTCTGCTGCTGGTGACAGCTTCAGTTACTCCCGAATGCCAAACTCAATCATTTTGAAAGTATTCAACTTTTATGACTGTAACCGTCGATCAATCAACAACAATGTGCATCTCATGTCTTCGTTTTAATTTTTTTTACTAAATATTCTTGTGATATCATTTTCTTTGTGTTTTGCTCTCGCTCTTCATTTAACGGACGGCCTTAAATTTGCGTTGTCTACCAGCAACTAAGCGCAATAAATGCTCAAATGCTATAAATACACGTGCGTGGCCCAACTGCTCAGTCACATTACAAAAGATATCGCTCATACGCACTGGTGGCTGGCTGGCTGCATGACTTGAAACTTTCATAGAACTTTTTAAGTCGCAAACAAAAAAGCGATTAAAACTAGCATAAACATAAGCGTTTTAATAGCGCAATGCTTTTATCGGTTCCGTTATACTTATTTGGGTTGTTGTTGTTGTGGCAATGAAAGTTACATATGTAAATGATCTTTATTGATGAGCATACTTCTGTTAACGATTATACATACATATATGTATATGGCTTTAAGCCATACGATTTATTGATTTCTTCGCCAGTATCTTTATTATAGGCGCCATTACAGAAACATTTATAGCTACAGACAGACTACCAAGGCTTGCTTGATATACTTCTTATTTTGATGTAAACACAATCTCGCGTTTCTAAAGTTTACGGTGAAAAAGATCATCACCATAATTCATAGACTTACAACGCGATATGCGTCAAAGCTTCCTTAATGATTTCGCACTTACCTATCATAGTTGCATATTCACGCTTTCATTAGGTCGTTCGACACTGGGGCCTATGTCACCGACACAATAAATTGGATCGCCCCGACTGGGGCCACCCCTTGGCTTTGTTTGCATAACTGCAGTCTTACGTGCCTCGTCTGGCACCCAAACAAATCGCCGGGATCAACAACAAAACTGATACCCTGACTGTCACTGTCACAATAGAGATATTTGCCTGATCAATGCTCACTTGTTTATGGCTTGGCGCGCAGATAATAGTTGGGCTGTAATCTACGTGCCGGTCTGTAGAACCATCGTGCCTCAGTGCCGGTGTTGTTGGTGCCCGATCAATTGGCGCCGGCCCGTTCATTCTTAAAACGAATTGGGCGCTAATTCGATCGCCACTACGGCGCTACAAACAAACACCGTGGACTCTCCCATTCCCTCATCATACGGCGAACAACAAAAATGCCGCGATAAGATAAAAAGGCGACGCCCCTATTGTGACTTTTCGCGTCATCCCCTTCTCCTATCTTCTTCGCTATTGGTCGGTATAATTTTGGCGCGAACCCCCCTAATGGAGGCTTCTCCCCGACGTACTAGCACAACACCGAGAATCGCTTCTTTGCTCTTCAATAATAATAATAGATTGGCGCTTACACATATGTTAGTGTTTGGCCGAACTTCTCCTCCGATTTGTAGTGTGAACCTTGATGTTGTCACACAAAGCGGTGGGACCTACAGTTTTATGCGGACCCCGAACGGCGATTGTATTTTTATGAGAAGCTGTTTCTCATGGCAGAAATACACTCTGAGGTTGGCCATTGCCTCCCGAGTGGTGGTGACTGCTATTAAGAAAATATCTTTTTTTTCGCGATGTTACTTTGACCAGGGCTTGATCCCAGGGCCTTTATTAACGCAATAAGTTGCCGGTAAAGAACGAGAACAAAAGAAAACTTTGGTGCGTCCAGAACGCGACATGGTGTCAGTTGTCTGGCTATGTATCAGAATCTACCACTAGAAATAGTAGAAGCAGCATACCAGTTGATGGGATAGTCTGCTAGTTCATCCCCAGTGAAAGAAAATAAGTCGCGGCGTTCCAGCAGTCACAATGGCCGGCAAAACAAAGCACTAGCGTGTCATTCCGAATGGCCGAGGTTCAAGTCCTCGGAAAGAGATTTGTTTCTTTTTTTAATTTTATAGAAATATTTTTTTAATAGCATTTAATTTTTATAGCACAAATGTTTCTTTAAATATGTATGGTTTTTATTTAAATTTAAGTAATAATTTTAATTTTTGCACAAATCTGTTGGCCAATCGAGCATGAAGTAAAGTTCGAAACAGATATTTGTGTTGATTTTGCTCGGTGAGCTGGAGCGAAGTCTTTTTGAAAGCATCGCAAAAGATCTTTGAGTTATGGTTTTGTTTCAAAACTTCTGTAATTAACTGCCTGGTATGTCTCTTATATACGGTGAGTCCCAAGTCACTGTACTTGCTGACATTCATTTCCTGGGGTATGATTTTCTGCTTGTGAAACAGATTTCAGATGAACCCGACTCTCTACGGCTTTGATGGCTTTTTGTGGTCGCACAGATATTCCTTGGTTGTCGCTTCTACCAGACTCCTCCAATAATTGCACAGGACAATATATACAATTTCTGTTGATTTTCATTTGACACATATCGGAATTATTTCGCTTTTTTCGTTGCTGAATTCTTTCAGGCCAATAGCGACAACACGATAACCGATTGGTTGAAAACAACTTACATAAACAACTTTAAACACGGGAACTTTAGGTAAATATCACTATCCAAATAGCCCTTTTACCTGAAGTGGGTGCGTTCACTGGTTGCTGAGAATCGGTGTCTTTAAGAGGGTGTACCAAAAAATTTGCCAATGCTTATTTAGTAAGTATATCGTTTTGATTGATTTTGATTTTTGGATACTGTGCTAAAACTAGTTAAATACAAAGGCAGAAGAAATTGAGGAAACCAAACAAACAAGTACCACTTAAAGTTCTTAGCTGTAGCTTAAGTGGAAATAATTTCCGCATCAGCCTATAAGGCGATCTTCCCTGGATAAATCCTCATCGACCTTGTTTCCAGAGATGTTTTTAGTAAAACTTTTTACTGATGCAGCTTAAGGCTTCAAATAGCTGCATACTTTGGCGATTTTCTGCGATACTACAAAGATTTTAAGACTGCCTAATGGTCTGATAAACTGATGCTGCAAATATTCTTCATTAATCTTTTATTCCAAGATGCTTATCTAAACACAAATTGATTGCTCAAGAGAGATTTTTCAAATACATATTTTCAAGAGGCACCCTAATGCGGAGTCCATTCAAAAACTTCTGTCGTAAAATGTTGTTAATGAGGGAGTGTGATGTGAGCCATTCTGAACTGAGTGAGTGTGTTTTACTAGAACAAAACCTAAATGAAAGATGTGCTCCAACAGAGTGAAGTGGTGCGCATAAAGAGGCGCAGGCGCGTCGCTTTTATATCCATAAAAGTAACTACATAAATCGCCATATATTAAGCTTGTGTTTTTCGCTGTCACTCATACTTTTTCAGCGAGCATATATCAGCGTTTTTACGTGGTGATTCGCCTGAGGCCATCACTGACTATAACTTCTATCAACACACGCCGCCGAACATCTGCCTTTCATGATGGCAATGACACATTGCCTAAACTAACATACATACATATTTACATGCTGCAGGCAGGCAGTCAATCGGCCAAGCAGCTTAGATGAGGCAGCCAGCCAGCCAGGGAGGCTGACAAGCAACTAGATTGTTAAGCCGTAAAAAATATCTAAACGTAGCAGCAGAGCCAGGCTGTTGACGAGTCAGAGCGCTCCAACACGAACGCAAATCTCGCAACTCCATCACGCGACAGCAGCATTAATAGGTGGCGACACAGCGTAGGCATCCCTAACTTGCGCACTAACGCTCCTCTCAGGCTCGAGGGCGCATCGCATGTGGGATGGTACAAGCGGAATAGCGGAGATTTTATGACATTTCGTTGTTTGGATTTCCGGCATCTAACTTGATTCCATTCTAAATTCACTCATGTCAGCGCTCTCAGGAGTGCG